GCTCTTTCAGGAATGACTGTCTCTAAGTCTGATCATAGTGTTTACAGTCATAGTTTTTGGAATTTAGTTGGTGTCAATTTTAATTTGATTTTCATTTGATTGATGTAATGATCCTGAAACTGATGATATGAATAAAGGTGAGTTTCCGTTCAAAAAAAGAGTGATAAAAACTGATTTGAAAGATCATGAAAAATAAAAAATGTTGATATAAATTTTATAAAAATCGGATCAAAAATAAAAAAGTTATTACAAATTTTTTTAAAAAAAGAAGTAAAAAATAATACCCAATGCTTAAAATCGTATGAGAGTATACGGTGCTCACCGTATACCGGTCATACGATATAACAAGTGCTTAATATGTCTATTTGGGTGACTTGTAGAATATAGTCATCACCTAATAATCCTCACGTACACTACCGAGCTAGCTCTAAAATAGTTGATGTCCGGTATATATTAGGCTATTAGCAATTTTAGTTGAACCATAACCTGTTCAAATTATATATGTAGTACTATTTTATTTATTTATTTATAATAATTCCCACACTTGATGATATAATAAGTTAATTACTCATGCATGCATGGACTAAAAGGATGTAAAAATAACTCAAAATAAGAGAAATTACCCTAATTAGGACTAAAAAAGTTTGTATATTCTAAAATAGGACTATCATGTTTTTTATTTCCAAAATAGGACTAATTACTGCCATGTTTTGGCAGTACCAGACTTTAAATATGACAGTATTTTCCAAACTTGGCGATACTACTCCTATTTTGAGAATAAAAACATGAGAGTCCTATTCTGAAAATTTCAAACTTTTTTACTCCTATTTCTGGAATTTCCCCTCAAAATAAATGAAGAAAATTAAAGTTTGTAACTTTATTATTATTGAATTAGCACAAAAATATGAAGTACATATCACATGATTCCCTGGACAATTTCAAATAATATGGATACGTTCCAACTGAGACATGTAAGAAAATGTATTACGTTTTTGGCTTCTTAATAAAAACATTGCATTAAAACGCTTAGCTTGCTGGTTAAAACTGGTAAAGAAAGAATTGGAGAAAGGAAGTGGTTGTCATTTTTTAATTTCATTGTTGACTTTGTTCATGATTATAATTACTCAGATCTTGTCTACAATAAATCCCTTTTCAAAGATTTCCCATGAGGAAAAGTAAATAAGACAACATTATGATAAACCTGGCTGTAGTATTAGTCTCTCCGTTTCGATCATGATAAACCTAGTTACACCACCATTTTTAGACTAATTTTTTTATTAGGTAGTGTTTAAGAATGCCATCATGCTGAGGATATGGTCTATGATTTGAAAAGATACGGAAATTGCTTAAGTGATCGGTAACCTACGTTTCACGGGATATTTTAGGGCCAATTTGGCTTTACATCCCATCGTTTGAGTGATTTTGACTTTGCGCTCTATTTTTTAAATCATTAATGTGTGCACCCTATTTTAATTGAAAAACATTTGACTTTGTATCTTATTTTTAACAATTTTTGGACCGACTAATGATTTTAAAAATGACAATCAAGGTGTAATATCACCCAAAATATGAAGTACGAAGTTCTCGTAATCAAGTCAAATACTTTATGACTCGAATGTATCACCACCGTTCTCCTAAAGTAGAGGTCATAGGTTCGTACTCTATCCCATTCAAAATTTGACATGTTAATTGTCCACTTACAAAAAAGGATGACACCACATCTGCCCACAGCATTGGCCGACATTTAATTCAGAGAATGTAAATTGGATTTTAATCACAACCAGATATAGTGAGTGAGGCTCCGATTCACGTACTTACATAGTAACCTCTCTTTGAAGTTACCATGATTCGAACCAAGACTTATTCCTTGTGTCAACCCTATCTATTGGTTGAGAACATACAATATGTAGTGTTGCAAAGCGAGATTGTAATAAAAATTTAAAAAGTTGAAGAAAATCTAAAATTCAAACAATGTTTAAATTACCTTAAAATGATTATTTTTTAATTGCATATATTTACCACGAAATATTTTACTTGTTAAATAAAAATGTTGGATCTTGTTCGTATATCTTTAGCCATATTATGTCAAATTTGGTCAGGTCTTTTTTGAAGGTGAGAATTGTACTCGGGACTTGTAAGTCATTAAGCTAGTTCACTTGTTTCACAAACTTATACTTAAATTTGGCCATATTCTGATATGCAGTCTGTTAATAGCATGAAGTTTTAGCCTAAAAATTAAAGGACAATTCAGGATAATTATACAATGCTGGAATGAAATTATTGAAACTATAGTAGACAGAAAACTGGTGAAGAAACACCAAATCCTTGTTGTGACACAAAAGATATATCCATGTATAGTATTTATCAACATTTACAGTTTTTTGTGTCATAACTGTGAGAATAATGGGAAAAAAATTCAGAGAGAGAAAAAAATATGTCAGACTCGTGATACCGTGTGAGAATAATGGAAAAGTCGTACTCCAATACGAGCCCTGACAAGTATATTTATAATAAAATAGCAGTTGTCAAAATACACAGATATTCTAAATTAATATAAACTATTAATAACTTAGGTCTTTGTGTAGTTTGGTCATGGCTAAGGTCTTTGTGAAAATAGTTTCAATTTCATTCAGCAATTTTATAAATTGCCCTAGTTTAGTCGCTTTGGCGAATCTAGACCACAATCATGAGAGTTTATTGAATTTGAAAGAATATGGCTATATTCGACATAAGCGGCTTAAGAAATCTGACCAAGATTTAATATTTTAATTAGAAATTGTCCTAAATAGGAGTAAAAACGTTTTGAAATTCCAAAATAGGAGTATCATGTTTTTTATTCCTTGAATAAGAGTAATCTTCCAAATTTGGAAAAAATGTAATGTTTAAAAGCCTAGTAATGTCAAACTTGGCAGAAATTTACTCCTATTTAGGGAATAAAAAAATGATAATCATATTTTGGAATTTCAAAACTTTTTTACTCCTATTTAGGAAATTTACTCTATTTTTATTTCACAAAAGCTGTTAGGATTTATGCAATTAAAAACAAAACATTGGCAAGTATTCTAAATATTTACATTTTCATCAAATGCTTAGATTATAATTAAAACTATTTTACATTTTTTGATAGATAATAAATATCATATTGAGTGGGCTCTCGTGAAATTTAGGATGAACACATTTCATCTTGAAATTTGCCCCTAGTTTGCTTGTTGGAGCTCATTTCACTCATGTAAACATTTGTGATTTCACTCATCCCACATTGAGTTTTAGTATTTTCCTTTAACCCATATATTAATGATCGGCATACAGGGGCAAGATAGGGTCGGGAGCCTCGTAAACACCGTACCCTTAACAGGGTTGGAGATGTGAGAGGTATTGGCCCTATGGGCCTTGGCCTCCCCTTCTCTTTCAAACTGAGATTTGAGCCCGTCCATTTGGTTACCGCCCAACCCACTTGTTCTTTCTTTGCTTTGGACTTTTGTGTTCGGCCATTACCCTGCATGACCTACTTACCTTGTTGGGTGATCCGCCTATTTATCCGTCTTGGACGACCTTCGTCTTTCTTGAGCCACCTCAGTCGTAACCCTAATTCTAGAGACCTCTTCTAGAGAGAGAGTCTCGCTTCTCTCTAGCCATTCTTCTTCCGTCCCTCTCTTCATTTTGACAGTGTGTGTGTGTGCTCTGTGGATTCTAGGGAGATGTTTGAAAATGTAGCTAGGTTGGGTTTGGATTTCAGTGCCTTTGTGGTGGTTCCCTTGTCTAGGCCAGGTAGGTCTGTGTGTGGTTGTGAGTTGTTCTAGAACTCTTGGGTTCGAGTGCCTGGAGACCTAAGTTGGAAGATCTATCACCATTATAGTGGTATCTTAGATTTGTCATCGTTGTCTCTCGTCGGAAAACTCCAACATCAACCCGGCGGCTACTCACCTCTGACGTCGACGACTCCATCTTCTTCCGTGCATGGTAACTCGGATTATCCCCCTGGAAATCCGCTCAAGTAAATTGGCTTGAAACGCCCTAGGTGCATCGGGTGCCTCCGGATTTTTTCTTTTACTCCCCTTTCCTAGTGTGGCCGTCACTTAATTTTATCCCGATCGCCATAACCCGAGGTATGTCGATGGGATCTCTTTCTTGTCTGTGTTGACTGTCAGTTTCATGTTCATATCTGTGATAATTTTGAGTTGCTGACTGTCTCTGTATGCTCGTTTGACAGTGGGGTAGTTGGTTGGGGTGGGGATCTTCGTTTGAGGCCTCTTGCATCTTAAGTTTTTTTGAGTTTAGTTGCTTTCTGAGTGTTGTTTGGTTCTTTGTGGTCTGTCTGTCTACATGTAACCTAAGGGATCTATCCCTGATTGGTTAAGGCACGTGTGGTTAGGGCTAGGGGATACCCTGCCAACCACTCTAGTGGCCTCAGAACTCCGTGGTCCTCTGATCCGCTGCTTGAACCCTTCTAGGGTTTCCACTCGAGTTTGCCCGTGTGACTCATCCATATGTTTATGTTTAGGTGCCATGGCTGATAATCAATATGTAATGTTACCTTTTAATGGTAAAACTGATTTTGATATCTAGAAGAAAAAGATTAAATGTGTTTTGATTCAACAAAAGGTTTTCAGAGCTGTCACTGGCAAATTTTTGGAAACATAAAATGAGGCTAAACAACTTGAAATGAATGAAACTCCCTGTTCCACAATTTAGTTAAATCTTTCTAACTCTTGGTTATGGAAAGTTGGTATACTTGACTCTACGAAAGAGTTGTGGAAAAAACTTGATAGTCATATACTGATACTTCCTTACCTGGTAAACTATTCCTACTTGAAAAAAATTTCCGATTCAGGCTTGATCTTACCAAGGATATAGATGAAAATTTGGATATTTTTAACAAACTTATTCAAAATACTATCCTCCGTTTTTTAATTGCAACACTTGCCTTTTTTGGCAGTTTCATATTAGTTGCAACATTTCTCTTTAAGACAATAAATGATAAATATATGGACATTAATACCCTTACAATCCTTCTTCCAATTAATACAGTGTCATTCTTTTGAATTAATTCTTGTCCAACCATGTACGTATACCATTTATCTCTCTTACACGTTTTTAATTCCTTTTCTTCATCTTTTTTCTTTTCATTTTTATTTCATATACCATGGATTTGTTACCAATTTCTCACGATTGATTCTACTTATGCTTTCCTTCCAATGGAACATGACTTCTACTTTTTTCTCTTCACTTTGTTGCTTCAGCGGCTGAAGTTCGGCCAATTTGAAAATTTAGAAATGAGATTCCAAGAACGAAGAGGTGGATAAATCGGCTTCCTCCTGTGACTGCCTTTCAAGATTCGACTAAAAGGTATAAGTAAATCTGAAATTGATCTTCAAGTAATTCCAACAATAGAGGCTAGCTGGAGCATTCGAAGGTGGTTATCAATGAGGAGGAGAAATGGAAGTTAAAATGGGAAAACTTATTTGTCCAAAAAATGAAAAAAAAAATGAATCTGTGATAGGTTGTTGTAGCATTCGCCACAGATGGCTGAGCTTCCGCAAATGGCAAGTTTGTAAGGGTAAAACAAAGGTGCTTGGTGTCGTACAGGGGTAGAAGTCGGAAATATTTTCTTTCACGGTATACCTTAATCTGTGTGCCCAACCTCTATGATGCAACTAATTCCGAACGGAGGGAGTATTAAACAGGATGGTGACAAGCGCATTGATGACTATACCTCAATTATTTTGGTTTATGTCATCCCTGATTCATACAGTGATGTCAAATCTACCATCAAGTACGGTGGAGATGAGGTCACCTTGGATATTGTGGTTAATGTCTTAAAGAGTAAAGAACTTGATTCGAAACAAAATATGGGTCATGACAATCAGTCTTGGGATTCTGGTGAGGCCTTGTCTGTGAGGGGTAGGTCTAAGAGTAGGTCCAAAAACCCCAAGAAGGAAAAGAAAGATAGATATATCGGTGGGCGTAGCTCAACTGGTAGCGAGAGAGTGCTACAAGGGTTAAGTCCTGCGTTCGATTCCCGGCAACTGCGATGAATGGTTACTATGCTAAAATGCATAGAGCCTCTGCAAGTACCGGTGACAGAGCCCCACTCTCTATCTGTCAGATTGGGATTAGAGTCTAATTTACATCCTCCCAACGTACCGTCCGGTCAGGGTTGGGGGACCCTCAGGGATGGGGTGTCATCCTTTTGGAAAAGAAAGATAGGACTAGTCTGAAACCTGATAAGAAGAGAAGTAAGTCTAAGAAGAGGGTCTGTTACAATTGTGGGAAACCTAACCATTTCATTGAGGATTGCCCTAGTCCCAAGAAATATGCAAGTTCAACATTAAGTGTTTATTTAAATTTAATTTGTTTATTTTGTTTATTTGAAATAATATAAAAATTTCCAACAATCCCCCACATATTTCAAGAAAACATTTTAAGCCAAAATAATTTGAATAACTGCTGGATTAACGGGAATGAGACTTTAAGTCTGGTGTCCGTAGACTATGAATCACACCGAGATGATTAAGTCTTTATAAACCGAGGTTTTGGTGAAACATACAATTTCTTGAACCAAGAAGCTACTATGGTAAATCAGGGTCTTAGTGGTCATGTCTCACACCCCACAATTCCTCGCGTTATCGCCGTTGTGCGTGTTTCGGCCGTGCGCATGCCTGGTTTTGTTGAATGCTCTAGAAGTGTCGTCAATGCTTCAAGGAGGCGGCCCCACCTCACACTCATATAGGTGATCTCATCAAGTGTGTCCCGCACTTAACACACCACCCATACGGGCTATGATAATCATTAAGAGTTTTTACTCAGCCTCACAAGGAATGCAGTCTAGCCTCACCCTAGAAATGGACATTTAAAATATGCTAGCAGAACAAACAGAAGACTTGTTATTACGCATATGAACCTGCTTCATGGGATCTCCAATCACACAAGTTGGATTACCATCCCTATTTGTTATCAAGTGACAGTCCATTTTCCTTGGTGTATATCATTATATAATATCTTAGGATTTCATATGATAACTTGATATTTCATTATTGTATATGTCTATACAATAATATCCTTTAAAAATATATCATCATCGTATCTCTTTAATACAATGGTTTAGCTCTCCACATACATTTTTTTGTGTTTCCACAATTTTTCTCAATCTTCCGACATTACGCCGGGTTTTACACAGTTTGTTAATTTTAACAAACTCACAATTTTAATATTCATAATGATCATTAAAATATACTTCACTAATTTGAAACTCAAGATCACTCGTGTGATATTCAACTCAGTATAACTTATCAATTACCTTCTCAAAAGGTAAAAGAATTGCCTCCACATTTTGAATATGTACAATTAGGTGCAAATACCATTACTAACGACTGCAGTCACTCCGTGATTTTCAAACAGGAAATTTAGAAGGCCATAAGAGTAGCATAAAAATCACTCATCATTTAAATCAAATCCCAGTAATTAAATATGTATGCAAAACAAACTCGGGTAATTTATTCACGTATTAAACTTACATGCATACTGCTATTCCAAGCAAAACCCTTAACCGGAGTTAACAAAGCCTTAGATAATGATCTAATCTATAATAATAGAGATAATTAAAAATTATAAGATAGGCCATTTCAACTTGACACATCGTAATTAACAAACCATGCATATATGCGATGAGATCTAAGACAGTACGTATAAGTAATTCTCAACAAAACTTCAGAAACGTCGTTCCATGCATATAAGTGCACTTTAGTAATTAAAACATAGAGTTTAAAGAAAGCCATCAGAGATTCCTGAAAAGATCAATCAATAGCAAAAAACGTAGCCTTGCATGCGTAATATAATACAATCTTTAATAATTTGAACAATCACAATTAAAACACAACCAAATTAAAACTTCTACAAAAAGAACGGTAAGGATTCACACAGGTTATGACACTGATTAATTGATCAAATAGTAGCGATTGAGAATAGTAACACATGTAATTTAAATATTGTAAATGCAGATTTTATTTAATAGAGCTTTCGTAATATTGTAGAGATGCTAACGCACTTATTCTTCGAATAAAGTGAAAAGAAAAAAGGAAAACTAATGTTGTTCACAACTTATTAATCAACAATTAAGCCAATCACTTTAACACCTCTAAAACACTCAACATAAAAAGTCCCTGATTGCAATAGTCCTTGCTGACAAAAGTGTTGTTTTTAGTGAGAACCACCTTGTCAGATTCAAAAGAAACCTTGACACCGGCTCTACCCAAAAGTGAAACGGAGATCAAATTGGTCCGTATCTCGGGCACGTGGAGTACATCATTGAGTGTCAACGTTTTGCCGGATGTGAGTTTGAGGTTAACATTGCCCTTTCCGTGCACCTTGCTTGTTCTAGAATCACCAAGGTGTACGTACTCTTCTTCATCCCCTATCGGTGTATAGGAGGCAAACACACTCTTATCTTGGCAAATATGTCTAGTAGCCCCGGAGTCCACTATCCATTCATTCACATCCGCCACAAGGCGAATTTGTGAAACAACCGCAGTTATAATGTCATCACTTTCAACCAAATTTGCACTTGGTTTAGGTGGATTTTTGTTTTTCACAAACGCCCTTTTCCTACACTCAACGTCATGGTGTCCCGGTTTCCCACAAACATAACAATCACATTTCTTTTTGAAACTGGTGGTATGTTTGGGCTTATTGTAATTTGACTTATTATTAGAATGATTTTTCCCATACCTCATTTTGTTCTCCGTCTCCACCAAGTTTGCATTTGAAGTATATTCATTTTCTTGACACTTGGCATTTTCCTTCCTGTTTGTGTCTTCAATGATGATGTGAGTAATCACATCATTGAACGACATAAGACTAAAGTCATGTTTGAGGTCCCGTCTGTAGTCCCTCCAGGACTCCGGCAATTTCTCAATTAGGATCCCTGCAATGAATGGCCCTGATAGTTCTATCTGGACGCTCTTAAGGTCCTCCAATAATGTCTGGTACTCAAGAATTTTCGCCTTGATGTCTCTATCCTCCTTCATCTCCCATTTGTAATAGTTTCCTATCACAACTTTCTGTTTGACAGTGTCCTCGGTTGTGTACTTAGCTATCATGGAACTCCATATTTCATTCGCCAATTTTTTCGTGCAATAGACATCAAATAACTCGTTAGATAAAGTGCTAAGAATTGTGTGACGGCAAACCTTGTTTGCGTAGGTCCATTGTTGGAGGAGTTTGACGCCTTCGTGTGATTTGTCATCGGGCATGGCTTGGTTAAGAACATCGGCAACGCCATGCAATTTCACAGTAAGATTACTTAGTACTTACGGAAGCACACTCAAAGGTAGAACTTTCTTGCCTTATTCTATTCATTGAATTTGCAACTCCATATTTTGAGATGAGAAGAAGGGGAAACTTCCCAGACAGCAGCAAGAAGGTATAAAATTGATTTAAACGACCAGTATATTTATATGCTAACTATTTGTTTATTTATAAAGTTTGACATTAAAACCTTTTGTAGTTAGGTATTGCCTATTTCTTTGTCTTTAAGCTTACAAGAAACATAAAATTAGTTATATGAAATATGGAAACATAGTTATACTTGAATCCATTGTAAGTTATTCTCCGTTACATTCTCCGTTACTCTCTCCTCCTGTCTTTTTCCATACACCATTCTCGTCTTTTCTCTACATCATCTCTGGCTATCTCCTTTCTGTCTGGATAATAAAGGATGGGTTACACGAGGATTTCGGCTTATAAGAGCCACAAATTTTTTTTTCCCTTGTTTGCAGTTGCCAGTTCCTTGCTCTGGTTGCATTGTCTTCTGAACATTCACTTCAGTGTAGAACAATAATGCATTTACTTTCGAGAAGTGATTTATTTTAGTGATTCAAGAGAAAGTGTTTAATGGTAAAAATAGTGTTCGTAAATATTACAAAAAACTGAAAAGTAGCTTTAAGCAGTAACACACTTCCCCTTGCTTTCAAATTTTAGCCTTAAAGTGCTAACGTTAAGAGAAGTACAATCTTAAAAACACTATTTTTAGTCAATTATATATTACAAAGAAAATTTCAGTGTGTGTGACAAAAACACTTACAAAAATAACTTTTACAATTACCAGTGCAAGTTTCCTTCACTTAGCCATGAAATGGCCTTGCGATAATCACTATAATTGATATCTTATCTTTATAGGTCAACACAGTTATAAGCAGACAAATTGAGAGAGATATATTTCAGTGAAAAGCTTGACACCAACTTTGAATTTGGGCTTTCATTCTATAATTGAGAGTCTATAGTTTTAGTTTTCATTATAAAGTTCTAAATTTGGGTTAAACGTAATTCTTTGTTTCGTAGCCTTGAGAACCTATATATATATATATATATATATATATATATATATATATATATATATATATATATATATATATATATATATATATATATATATATATATATATATATTATTTATTTATTTATTTATTTATAGGGAGCGGTTCCGGTAAGAACGAACTCTAGGAGAGAAATGAGAATGAATCTGGACCGTTGGATTGTATTATGTGGAACTGAATTGTGCATTTGGTGAAACTGATATGTGCATTAGATGATATTGAAATGTGAAGAATAAAAATTTAAACTCAAGTGTGCATTAGGTGAAACTGAAATGTGCCAAATAAAAAGTACAAAATTAACATCACATCGTACCTTTTTTTCTGCACATTTCAATTTCACCTAGTCCACATTTCAATTTGACCTAATGGACAATTCAACTTCACATAATGTCACTGTATCGTACCCTTTGTGCTGCACATTTCAATTCACCTAATGCACATTACCGTTTTATCTAATGCACACCGAATATCACTTCAAAGCAAATCTAACGGTCCAGATTCATTCTCATTTCTCTCCTAAGATCATGTTCTTATTTGAACCAAAACACACACACACACACACACATATATATATTTATATATATATATATATGTAGGATTGGTTCAAATAAAAAATCATCTTTTCATTCAAAATGCGAACGAATAAGGACCATCAGATCTAGGATCTAAAGGCTAAATGATGCGGTCATATTTTCATAAATAAATAAACACAAATAATATGCATTACTTTGAAAAATGCATAACGGGTAGGTAGACTGTACCCGCACAATTTTGTCATCAAATAATGTGCATTGTTTTTAATGTCAGGTGCATTACAAAGGGGGTAAAGGTGCGCACATTCGTGCATATTTTTCTTCGGAAACACTCTTTTTATTTGAACGTTACCACACAAACACACACACACACATATATGTGTGTGTGTGTGGTGGTACATAGAAAAAAGAGAAGAAAAAATAAGAGAAATAAAAAAGATAACATATATAGAAGAAAAAAGAAATAGGCGCCCAATCCTTAAGATAAGTAAAACTCTCCCTAGAAAAAACAATGTGTGACCTCAAGTCATCAGAAATCTACATATGATTGGGATCTCGTCCTCATGTGATTCGAACATCGATGTTTCTTCTTGCACTTCTTCATTTTAGTGTTGATATTTTGTGTAGGCAAGCAACTATCGGTTGTGACTATGCGAGGTTTATTGTAAATGCCCTCATTTGTGTCGGAGTCTCATAGACCCTCAATTAATGAATTGGTGATTCTCCTCTCTCACTATGAGAAAAAAGGGAATGCAATGTGCCATTGTGCCCAACCCTTGAGATAAGTAAAAGGGGAAATTTGACTTTGCACCCTATGTTTTGGGCGATATTAGACTTTGCACCCCATTTTCAAAATCGTTGATATTTGAACCCCATGAGCCCAAAAATTGTGAAAGAGTGGGGTGCAAAGTCAATTAATTTTATAGTATAGTGAGGTGCATATATTAATGAATTTGAAAATAGGATACAAAGTCAAATATCACTCAAAAATGGGGTAGTCAAGTTCTCCCTAAGTAAAACACTCCCTCTATATATATG